AGAGTAACGAATTTTATGCCGGCCTTTCACTTGACAACAGTTTGTCCTTGTCATGCAAGGTAGTTTTCCAATTACAGCACTAGAGCGCATTATGCGGCATAATGCTTATCGTTGAATGTTTCAACTACAGCAACGCTTCGCACAATCGGGCACTCTCAAAAGTAATGTTTTCGTGTGATGCGTTCAATCGTACCAACTCAGTGACAGAAAATTAACAAGTATTTTTTCTTTAAGTTGGCATTGATCGAAATGTTTTATTTGTAAATTATCGTTACTTATATTATTTATGTTGAATTTTTTTTAAAGCTTTCGTTTCATTGTAGTTTTTTTTAAATAATCAAAGTTAATTCAAACTGTGTTTAAAAAAAATATAAGTATGGATGAAGGTACAAATATTGACTTTTTTTTTAACGCTGAACTTAGCGCACTCTGCTGGTGCATGTGAAAACTAATTCACGTTCCAATTAAGCATCAGCATAATTCGGCATTGAGCGCCACTGAGTCGCATTATGCTCTGTAATTGGAAAACTAAGTTAATAAGGAATGAAAAGAACAGACTAATGTCATGTTTTAAAATAGCAAATACGAATAGCCAAGTGAAGTGCCGGGATTAGGAAGAAAGAGTGTTTTGTTTGCAGCGCTGCCATAGATTATACACATTAAATGGTATTTAATGTCTAAGATTATTTTTTGACTTTTTAATTTAGCTCACTTAACTGGAAGTGTCCGTCACCATCTAAATACTGATAGTTATCGCAAAAAATATACTAAGAATTATCATAAATGCCAAATTGGTGTTGGTTCTTAGGCCAATTTTAACATTGTCCGTTGTAACTGTATGTGTTTACACATAATAATATTATCTTTCGAAGCTTCAACCCTACTGGTTTTACTTGCAACCTAGGATAGAATTCCCAAATGGAAAACAGTCATTTTAGTTGTTTGTTTGATTCCAAGTAGAAAATGTCTATTTTTATGTGAAAAAGTATTACTACTGATGTCAAAAGACTGATTAAAAGTTTTTGAGTGTTATGAAATATGGTTCTTTCACTTTCTTAACAATAGAATTAGAATAAGACACAAGTCACTTTGACAAGCCCTAGATTTATTTGGCGTCTTTGACTGCGGTCGTAAGACCATTAAAAATATCAAATTTGTAAACAGTCGTGTATGTGTATTAAATAAAAAAAAAATAGATAAAACCTCGAGAAGCTGATTGTGACCGGCAAAATAGAGGGAAAAAGACCTCGTGGACGCAGCCCAATACGTTGGTCTGACCAGATTCGCACCGCTCTAGACTCGACAGTCATCAACGCCCTCCACACCGCTAAAGACAGGAATAGATGGAAGACTATCATAGGAAAGAAAGTGATGCAGAAGGGAGGACGACCCTCAGTAATGAGGAATGCGACTCAAGGAGGAGATAAAACAACATAACATACATCTTTTTCCTGTAAAAGTTGTTTCAATTCTTTAATGCTCTAAGCTCGCAATTATAACGAAAGCCTAGTAGACATCAGGTGTATTTGAGTAAATTCAAATAAAGATGAATCAAATAAAACAAAAAATAAATAAATAAAACAATAAAAGTCAAATAATTATTTGTTTCTTAGGTTTTCACGCACATCACTCATTATATAAAACTAGTTTTAACGGGTCAATGCACGAACTTTATTTATTTATTGACGTTTCGCAGCCTTTTCAGGTCTGCATCGTCAGAATATTTCATCAACTATTTATTTTTATTTGTATCTTATGTTTTGACACTTTAAATGCAACTACTTTTCAACGGGTTTAAAATGCGTTTTTTAATTAATAACTGTTCTAACACCTTGGTAGACTTATACCCATTGGTCCATTTTCTTAATCATCTACGAAAGGAGAAGTTGTGTTCACTTTTTTCTTAAGTAGTTATTAAATAAAACTAGCCTTTGCAGGTCAGCATCGTCAGAATAATGATTTTTTATTTATTTTGTCGAGCTACCTTCGAAAGACTTTTATTGAGCGTGCGGATATTTCATTGGAAGATTCTTAAAACTTTATTGTCTATGTATGAATTTATTAGCTAATATAGTTAAATAAAGTACTTTATTTAAAATTCTTTTTTGTAATTTTGAGTTATTTATTGACCCTAACTACCGTAAACTACCACCGGTTCTAAAATTGGGAGACCTTTCTGAGAAGAACCGGCGAAACAAACTCAGAGAGGCTTTCTATCTCCTTCTTATGTTAAATCATGCAAACAAAAACATCTAAAAGTATCTGTTGGTCTTGCAGTGTGTGCTCGGGGTTGGGATTTTATCTGTTGTATAATGGGTTCCCAAGCTGGTGGTAGGTATATACTTTTTAATCTCTTCTTCTTGATTGAATCGTTGTTCAGTTGCAAGGATCTGTGGTTTATCAAATCTAATTTAATGGTTTGGTCCCCCTAACGCATGTTCACACACTGCGGACTTATTTTCGCGCCTATGTTTCATATCTGCGATATGTTCTTTAAACCGAGTTTTCACGCACGTCACTCATTAAATTAATTATTTATTAACGTCAATAAATAAATAAATTTCGTGCATTTACCCGTTTTATATAAAGAGTGATGTGCGTGAAAACCTAAGAAACAAATATGTTAATCAATTATGTAAATGGATAAAAGGTTCTTGTTTCATAACTAGTTAGGAAAAAGTTAGTAAAAAGTCTTCTTTAATACATGGATAACAAAACGGCTGTTCCTATATGCGTACATTTTAAATATATTTCGCTCAAATTCAAGTTTGTTTTAAAAAAATATATGTAGAATATAATTTTAATAAAAAACAATTATTTCATCTATCTTATTAAAAATAATGAATCATACTTTTATCACTACATAGTATAAAGCAAAGTCGCTTCCCTCTGTCTGTCCCCATGTATGCTTAGACCATTAACATTACGCGATAATTTTGATGTGTTTTTTTAAATAGATAGAGTAATTGAAGAGAAAGGTTTATATGTATAAAACATGCATATTATAGTAAGGTCGTAAAAAACACATTTTTTGCGTTTACATTGCAAACGCTGGCTGACCCCTACGAGATAGATCAAAATAATATACTATAGTATTGTACACCTTAAAAAGGTTTACAAAAAGTCTGGGATGGTATATGTCTATCTCTTAGGGATAACCCACAATAACCATTTTTAATCCCATAATTTTTAAGAGAAATAATGGCTTATTTACGAAGCGATGATAAGCAATACATGGTGTATTGCTTATAATAATCCAATCCTTATCCAATGAAGTACCTTAAATACATTGTACATCAAAATACATTGTGCATTAAATATAGATGAATATGGCCCTTTGCAGCATGTAATTTAAATGAGTATTTTTGAAGATATTCCAGATTTAAGATGCAGGGGCATAGTGGTTATACGGGGCCGGCGGCGCGTGCCTATAGTAATTATATAAATAAATTCATTGTTTATAATACAAGCCTAAGAACAAAAACTATAGTATACACTACAGCTCTACACCGAAGCGAAGCGACGGCGGGCCACTAGTGTAAAATAAAATAAAAAAGAGGATTGTATCTTGAAATAAGTACCTAAAACAAACAAAAAACTTACGTTGACAAATGAACCATGGAGCAAAAGTGGAAAATAAAATAAAGAAAATATTCTTACTGGATAATATTATCTAAAGTTTGCATTGAAGTCATTAATAAGTAAACTATAAAATTACTGTTTGTAAAATTCTCCTGCTTACTGCGAAAGTCAACATAAATTAGTTTTGAATGTCAGTTGAACTATGAAATGGACTGGAATAAGTTATATTTTTTATGATTCAAAATTATAAATTAACAGTTTAACGGGAGTGTCATTTGTGATTTCTTTGCTGTTGCGCAAACCCAAAGCCGCGAACTTAAGTATACTTACAAAATTAAACGTAAACGTACACTAGAAAAATGTGACTTGTTTATATCCGCAACGCAGTCCGATTTTTAAACAACACTAAAAAGAACCTGTTAGGTTTTCCTGTAAAATGTCAAACAGAAAACCGGCGTTAGAGCCATATACCTGTCAAAGCGACCGTTAAATGAGGTAGGTATTTCGTTGCTTAATACGGTCAAGGTCGACGGGCGACCATATAAACACAAATGCAAATAATATTTATTTGAGTTTTTTACTACGAAAATATTTTATTTTATCTGCTTTTTCTTATTAAATATTAGTTAAATGATGACATTTTTTAATTTTGAACCTGATAGTACATTTTACTTGTTAGTCTGCAGGCAAATAAAATTGTTTAAAAAATCTTACTCATGGCAAGTTAGGAGCAATTAATTGTTTATAAAAATCAAAATATCACTGATATTGTTTTTAATATTTAAAACAAAATGTATAATTAATTGTATTCTCCTTGTTTTAAACTAAACCCTTTTACGCCTATATTGTAATCAGACCGTGACAAAATTAATAAAACATTATCTATGTATATACATTTGTTAAGTTTAACTAATTAACAGTTATGTCGCGTGTTGTTAGATATGCAGTTGTGGTAGTCATTAGTATACCGCTTATTGGTAAGGAGCGCATTAATTAACAATATCAATTAAACGCATGAAATGTTCTCGGAAAGAAGCTTAAAAATAATTCATCCGAGTTCACATCTTGTTACATTCACATCTGATCATTCCACAAAAAAAACATCAATGTAATACGCGTAACAGAAGGATATTTCTCATTATCGTCTTGTAAAATTAACACGACCGTATGGACGAGTATGTAAATATATTTGTCAAATCACACATTATTTAACTTGCCCCAATATAACAACATTACATCAACTCGAGTATCTACCAGCGTACTATACGTGTACGAGTAGTTTCAACTTGTTTCGTTGCTATGGCAGTAACTTTCTAATATAACAGAGACATAATTAAAAAATACATATTTTCACACTGACATGTGCGCTTACAAATAAACCGGTTATATGAAAATAATAAATATGAATTTCAACTCACCGTACAGTACAAATTTTGCGTCCCTCCGTGCCGTAAAAATTGAATTAATCACTCGGATGTGCACTAATAAAAATCGCTTATTAACAGTTTTGTAGAAACACTAGAATAAATATCGCGTAGAAAGAAAATTGAACTCGCGGTTCGAGAACTCGCCGAAACTTTTCGGAAAAGTTTGTTTCGCGTCGGAGCGTGATAGTGGGCGCACGGAGGCGCAGGGTAGCGGCGCGCGGCAGCTGGGCAGCGCTTGCACTGAGTGGCGATGGCGAGTAACTTGCCGCGCGCTTGCGCCAGACCAGTTCCGTCAGCCTCCCGCCAACCACCTACCGGCAACCGCGACCGCCGACCGCCGCCTGTTGGCCGTCGACCACCGCCGCAACCTGCACCACGCGGTGCACTACCAACGATCATAAACAATCCACAGACCACACACGGTCAACCCTTTCCTGCCTATCATTATCAATACCACACGATTTATAATAAGTTTGACGGTGCGATAAGACGTGACCCCCTCTGTCATAGTTAAATTATTTTACCATTCATTCTACTTTTGTCCAGGAATATAGGTAACACCTATTATTTAAATTATGTTAGTTAGGTACTTTTAATGTTGTACTTATTTCAGATCCATCCCATCCGGCTTCGCATACAGGTTTACTGATAAGTATAGAAAACTCATTCACCACAACAAAATAATCAGCCGAAACTTATCACAAAAGATACTTCGTCATTACGCATGTCGCAATTTAATTAATTATTATATTAATTCTTTATTGTGTTTGAAAGATTTTCGTAAAGTAGTATTTTTTTCTGAAACCTGCAGAATCCTGTCTTGACTCGACCGGAACGTACAGATATTTCTTATCAGAAATGCACTATCGACCATTCTGAAAACAAATAAACATTCGTGAATCGTGTAGGTATTAGTCACGCGAATTGTGTAACTTTTCGCAATATTAAAGCAAAATGGCGAGTTAACGCTTACCCGTCAATCTAATGTGAGTACTATTTAAGTATAATTATTTTTAACGGATAAAACGAGGAATCAGTGTATTATAAATAAATCATCAATCATCAATAATCATCAAAATCTATTAAAAAAATTATAAATACTTATATTGGGTTTAATACGTAGCAAACACTAATTTATCCGCATCTGATTATCTGAAATACCATTCATAAATACATTATTGTCATTACAAGCAGCTGTATCGTTATGTCACAATGAGATTAATCGAATGAAAGACGACAATCTTTATTATGAAGTTGACGACTAATATCATGAATGGCTTTAATTAACGTATCTCTAAGATAATAACGTCACAATAGAATAATCTAATCGAAATAAATTCCACATTTGTACGTAAAATAACATTTCACTACGATAAAAAGAGTTAGAATATAAGAGATATCGTTTGAAGTTATAATAAATATTTCCAACACTCACACCAATTAGCCTAACCCCAAAGTAAGCACTTTAGGCTTGTGTTGTGTGATATTAGAGGGTAACAACGGATAGAATACATATACTGTACATATATAGGTAAGTATATTTATAGAGAAATACATATTAAATATCCATGACTGGGGTACAAATGCTCGTATTCATCACACAAAAATCTGCCTCCACCGGGATTCGGACCCGGGACCTGTCGAGAAGGCGAAACCATGAAACCCGGCGTACAAACCACTCGGCCACGGAGTCATTGTTGTGAACAAAATTTAAAAAAAGAATCATAATACCCTTAGCAATACTTTACATTTCATTCCAGAATTACGCGACATCGTCCGTTACTCACTCAGTACATATCAGACATCTATTTTTCAATGTTAATTTATTTCTATATATTTTCAGATCATTAGTCATGTTTGTATATTATTTCAGATGAGTGAGTCATTTTAAGTTCTAAATGATTTACAAAACAGTCCTATCTAGGTGGTATATACCTTGAGTGCTCTTTGATGGTAATAGTTTTTTTTGCATGTCAGACAGAATTAATGTTCTGTAGATTTAGTAGTTTTATTTTTGTTATTGTTTTATTGTGCTATTCATTATTTAAAGTAGTTAAGATCTTTTTGTCTGAAACACAGGATATTCCTAGTACAGGCTATGTATGTTTTCTTTACCTTTTGGTGTTTTTTCTTAGATCTAAGTCACTATAAATTAATACTGAATAAAATTTTATTATTAATGTTAATTAAACTTTAACGATTAAACAAGCAATAAAGCATTAAACTTTAACAATTTATTTATGTTATTGCGAAAATTCATGTACATACATCTGTTACCATCTTCTTAAAAATTTTGGTATGGAGAAAAAAAAGTTACTCTCGCATTGAATATTGATTGAATACCAATCTATCATATAATATGAAACATAGGCATATGTGTCATTAGAAAATATAATAACTTCTGATGACATGCTAGCCTAGTCTAGCTAATGAGAGTCGATACTGTACAAAAAAGGTCGAAGAAGACAAGTTTGTCGAAAAATCTATAGCATAATGGTCAGTGCATTCGCCCGGATAGCGAAGGATGCGGGTTCGAGTCCCGTCCGCTGCCTGGTCCGCGTGGATTTTTTTTCTAGTAAACTTTTCTTAAGATTTAAACATCTAGCAGTTAAATGCTTAAAAAATAAATAAAATCAAAATCTATAACTTTAATCCTGGATTAAAATTAAAATAAGTAGCTAAATCATATTGCAATCCGCCGTTTATTTAAGGTTAACTGGTAGAAAGGTTTTGATCTCTCCTCCATAAAGGCTAATATTGTTAAAATAAAACAATACTACACAACAAATTTTGTGTGAGTAGCACAACAGAGCTAGTTAAAGTTACATTTTACTATTTATAACTTTGACTGGTTTCGCTTGGAAAGTAAATTTTTACTACCTATAAAATTCTGACGTTATTTTGACAATCACCAAATGACCAGTACTTTAACTAAACAGTTAAGTAAAATTAAGCTAAGTTTTATAGATATTAACGGGATTGTTACCATGTACCTTGTTTTTTGCCGGCGCTTGCAACAGTGCCGACATATCGGAGACTCATAAAAAACAAGGTACATGGTAACAATCCCGTTAATATCTATAATGTTAAGGTAAGTTGGTCCAACTCACGCTTTGTGAATCATTGAAAGATAACTGAGTAAGTACAATAGTAATATGGAAATGATTCAGTTTTTGCGCAGTATTATTACTTTAAAGTGAAAAGTGTAATATTCAAGTATGTATGACTTGCTCATAGCAAGCAGTTTCCTTTCCTTATAGGCCTCGTACACATTTAAGACAAATAAATAAATTAAAAAAATGGGTGCGTGTACTTATGTAGGCGCGTGAGAAGTTATCCTTCTTTGGCATCGTTTAAAATTAGTTTTTAATTGCATGCAAATAATTAATTACAATAAATTAATAAAAAGTCTGGAAAAGGACACAGTCAATAAAGTTCAGTTTTAATTTGAAAAAATAAATAAATAATCAAAATATTCAATTAAAATCGCTACTGAATATAATTTATTAGAACATATGTGATTTGCACTTGTATGAAACTCAAACACGTATTCCGAATATACAAACTAGAAACATGTGGATAAATATTATAAACTAGCGGCCCGCCCTCGCTTCGCTTCGGTGTAGAGCTGAAGTGTAGACTACAGTTTTTGTTCTCAGGCTTGTATTATACACAATGACATTCATCTATGATTCTTCTTATACCTGCATGCAAAGTCTCAGCCCGATCGGTTTAAAATTGATAAAGTTTCATACAAACTTTCATTCCTTATTTTATCCCCTTGGGATTTTCTTTATATTTTTTTCCGTAAGAACCTTGTACAGAGTATTAGAAAACTACAAAAAAAAAAACAGCCAAATCGGTCAAGCCGTTTTCATGTTATGTCGTGACAACGGAAAACGGGTTTCATTTATATATATATAGATATGAAAACAGTCTCTGTTCTAAATTCAAAACTCGTAACTTTTCCCGATGTTTGTTGTACGTGTTTCCCGCGCTAGGACCGCGAGTGGCCGCGCATGCGTACGGTGCGGCGGGCGACGCGGTAATGGCAGCGCGGCACATGAAGTTGGTCGCTTTAGCGAAATGGTGTTAATTTTTTGTGTTAGGCCTATAACGCACTAGCGGTTGGCCGCCATGCGGCGTGCCGTTGCGGTAGGCCGCACATTGATTAGTACATGAAACCGCACGATAACGACGCACTGATTTGCGGCCAGCCGTCAACCGCTCCGGTTGTTCCGGAACTGCGACGAGCCGCGCCGGTTGAATGATGCGGCGCGCCGCATCCCCACCACGCACTCGGCGCGGTAGTCGCAAACGCCGCGTCCCGCCCGCCAGTCCGTCGTCGCTTGTTTCACGCGCTAGACACTACTCGTGCGCGTCATGGATTTTGATACAGAAAAGTTCATTTTAGAAATAAAAGAACGCCCCGCAATATGGGATAGCAAATGCGCTGATTATGCAGACAGAAATAAAAAGTTAAAATGTTGGGAGGAAATGATTAATATATATGCAAAGGAAGATGATACATCGGAAGAAAAGAAAGAACTCGGTAAGTTACGTTATTTATTAATCATGGTTACAATGTTACAATCATCATACCTACTTTTTATTCCCAATTTCCTGCGATTTTGCGGATTAATGCCATTATATTTACTTATATATATTTATCTTGCCATTCCAATTTACCTTCATGTTCAAAATACTGAGCGAAAGAGTCACGAATTCTTTCAGCGATATTATTACCTATTCGATTATATGTTCTCTGAGTTTCTGGTACATCAGGCGGCATGTAACATGTTAAAGTATCTTCATAGTTATAACCGTCTCTGTCTCGAACGTAGTTATGCAAAATGCAACATGCTTTGATGATATCAGTAGCCAAACTAATATCCACATTTAAAGGTCTATGGAATATACGCCACTTATTGCTCAGTATTCCAAACGAACATTCGACATATCGCCGTGCTCTACAATGCCGATAATTATATATTCTCTTAGTAGTGTTTAAATTAGTATTTTTTGGTTTTGCATAAGGTCGCATTAAGTTCGTGGATAAGGGAAAGGCTTCATCGCCTACTAAAACATATGGCATTGGAATAGTATTTACTTGTGATATGGGTGTTGATTCTGGTATCTCAAGTTCTCCTGCTATCATTTTTTTGTAAAAGTTAGAGTGTTGATAAACTGCTGAGTCTCCAAATTTGCCACAAGCACCGACATCTATTGTTATGAATTTGTAGTTGCTGTCGCATATAGCCATCAGTATAATGGAAAAGAACTGCTTATAATTGTAGTACATGGATCCACTATGGCACGGCTTTATTACCCGTATGTGTTTCCCATCTATAGCCCCAATGCAATTCGGAAAATTAGCTCTTTTAAAGAAACCCTTTGCAATATCTAGCCATCCTTGTTGAGATGGCTTCGGTAAACAAG